TTAGGTCCAAGTTTACGAAGGCATAAAGTGGAACGGCATTTCACGGGCAGGACGTGGTGATACTTGAGTAGTTATGTTGGTAAATTGCTTAGGTACTCCTTATTAGATGAGGCTTCTGCTTCTTCTAAGGTGTGCTCCAAGAACCAAGATTCATTTTGATCAAATTTTTAAAAAGCAACAATTAAAAAAAGGTGTTGCTTATTTGTCAGAGTTTCCTATATCAGGATCATCCTGCATTTAGTGCTAGCTGCTGTTTTTATAGATTTTGTACTACTGTGAAATTAGACCCTTTGCTTTTTCCTGTTTCTTCTTTTCCCAGAATGAACTAATGGTGAGTTGAACTGAGCCTAAGTTTAAAAATAAAAATCCTGGAGGTGTGTAATAAAACCGGTTTGAGATTTTAAGAGGGAAAAAGAAGAAAAAAGAAAGACACAAGGGGCTCATTTTCTGAGCTAATCACGGTTTCTGTCTTCTGCTTTCTTCTCAGGGGAGCCGTCCTCCATGATTTCTCGGTACCCCTCTCCTGCAGAGTTGGATGCTTTTGCGCAGAAAACTGCCAACAGCCCGCTGTCCATCAAAATCTTCCCGTCGGATGTGCGGGTGCCGCAACACAAACAACTCAGCAAAACAGTAAATGGCTTGGACACCACTGGTCAACGCTACAGCCCCTATTCGCATCCGTACTCAGGAGGCTACCAAGGCTTGTTGGCCATTGTCAAAGCCTCTGTGGTGGTCAAAGGTGTGGTGAAAACCTCAGAGGGCAGAAGGACTAAACATGTAAACAGCCAGGGTTCTGTGGCACCATATAATAATCCTTTGAATAATGGCTACACTGTCAGAAACATGCATAAAGCCTATCGCGTAAACTCATGCAAGCCCCCCGATGCACCGATCGAGACACTTTGTTCTAGCGTTGGAATAGCCTCTGGAGATCAGAGCCTGCCCCCCCAATCTGAGCTGGCAGAGGTTCAAAGCTTGATGAGGCAGATGAGCAGAGTTCCTCACAGCCAGGCGCCGCAGCTGGGGGGAGAGGCCCGAGCCAGCCCCTCGCTGCAGGCCGTGGCTGCGGTGGCACATTCAGACTCAGACTTTGTCCTGGGAGTGCCTCCCCAGAGCAGTCTGGCTTTCGCGGGAGCGGTGCTACCGACACAGAGCGCAGACAGAGCCAAAGCTGGATACTTGGACAAAGGAGACTACACTGTGTGGCAGCACAAAGCTCAAATGCAACAGCAGCAGCCCTATCAGCAGGGAGCAGTGAGGATGTACGGTGTGAGTAGCAGTGCTCAGGGCCACAGAGCAGCAGAGGCTGGGGTTGGCCTTTCTCCTGAAACTTGCCTCCCTTTGGCCCGCTCCTCGCAGATGCCGTATAGGCCACATCCTGGCAGAGTGGGCGTCGGGCAGGAGCGAGTCAGCGCCAGCGTACAGGGGGAGGTGTCTGTCGGACAGTACTTTGCTCCTCTGTGGGACAGCGTCGTGGCTACCCCTAACAGTGACTGTTATCCCTATCAGGTGCTGACAACGGGTACATGTGCAGCCAGGCCTAGAGATGTGGGTCTCTCCCATCCTCATCCCCATCCCCATCTTCACAACCACCACAACCCACAACATCACCAGGCACAGCTTCACCCGCCTCTTCCTCTTCCCCCTCCCCCTCCTCATACCCAGGCCTACAGCACAGACCAAAACCTCTGTTGTGGGCTGTCTAGTTCTAGCCTGTGCCACGCTGCAGTGCTTAGCAGCAGCCTGCAGTCTCTGGAGTGCCTCATCAGTGAGATCCACCCTCCCTGCATCAAAGAGCGCATGCTGGGCCGTGGGTACGAAGCCATGGGGATGCCTCCGCTCATGGAGCACCAACAGCAAGCCCACATCCAGCTCCCCGTCTACAGATAAGACGGCAGGACAGGGAAGCGACACATCTTTTATAGACCGCAGAGGTGTCTGTGAGCGAGAGACATGCCTTTTTGTTTGTGCATGTACTTTATTTGTAGAAGGCTTTGTCTCACAAGCCTGGAAAAGAAAAAAAGGTAAAATGATAATCATGACTTTAAAATACAGGTTTATTCTATGGACTTTCCACGTTGTATTTTTATATCTTTAAATGGCCATTGGACATGATTACTGTCGTTCACGTGTTGCCGAGCACTTATTTGCATTTTTACATGACAAAATCATCTGAAAACTTTTACTTGAATCCGGTTAATGATCTCTGGTAAGCCTTTTTGTGAATATACTGTATTTGTTTTATGGAGTTTTTTTCTTATTAGTTATTTGAGAGCAAGAATTCTCCTCAAACATCACTTTTAACCAATCTTCTTGGTTGTCTGTTGATTTCTCGTGGATTTGTGTTTTGGTTTCCTTCTCCTGGCTTTCCTTTAACGGACATACGCACTGCCCCAGCTTTCTCAGTACAATGCAACTCTCCTAGATGCTGCATGGGGAAATACTTTCACCATTCAAATGTGAATATATATACACATCTAACCAACATACTTTTTTTTGTTACAGTCACAGAGAAACTTGTGTAATTTAAACACCTATACTGATTTAACCTAGTCACGCTCAGCTCGGCTTTTAAGGACTGTTGCATATCCAAATCAACACTGTGGCATTCAGGCCAAGCAAGATATGCCCTTGGTTGTATTTTTTTAAACTGTTTTTGAATTTCAGAAAGCTTATGTGAACATTTTTCCTTGAATGACATAAAGTCCCGACACTGTTCTCACGACGCCGTGTGTATAACGGAAGTGCTACGTAGAGGAGCAGGCCGCCTGAATCATTTACAGTGTCTTCTTTGTAGGGCTATATTATCTGCGATGGTTTGAGATGTGTGACTGAGTAGTTCCTTGTGTGTCTGCACTGGTTCTGTAATCCAATTTATTTATGTCCCCACCCCCCTCCCCCTTGATTTATATGGCAAACTGTCTCTCTTATAAAGTGCAATTATTATATATGAATATGTGAGCGCTCTCCATGAATTATGTTGATGAAATAACTACATTTTGCAATGTACGACCCTAATCCCTCACCCTTTTTTGCTTCTTCTTAATAAGGATTGTCAAGTAAATTAAATTTTCTAAACCCAGCGAGTACTGTCTTATTACCTATTAATAGCCATTATCTGGCAAACTTGCAGTCTTTATTATATTCACGAATGATAAAGCAGTTGTAGGAAGACAAGATTTTTTTTTCTGGCTTTATTGCAAAGGGATTTAAAGCTTAAGCACAAGGCCAGTCGCTCTCTTCTTATTTTATTTTTTTTTTTTTTACCTCGTTCCATTAAGATCCATCTTTTCACCCAAAGATTTCAGTTTTATTATATGATGTAAGTCAATCCTTAGCTGGAAAAGATTGGACTGGCTCCTTTATAAATGATGCAAGCCGAAAGCGCTAATTTTGTTATCACTGAATGATGTTAGTCCAGATGGATGGCTCATGCTTGAGGCAGAAGCCAATGAATACTTCAAAATACGTAAGTGAAAATGTGCAGGCCTGTTCCTGCAGATATTACATTTTGGTATGAAAAATACATGCTTCCTTTAAGACATATTCACGTGAATATTGTTGTTCACATTATTGAGAAATAGGCTGGCCGTTCCCCCAGCTATTGAATTGCTAATGTTCGATGATGTGCCTGCGCGCGCTCCTTATTTTGGTTCATTTGTCCTCCTAAATTGGACGCTTCTAGCTGCGATCCAGACACGAAATGCACAGCCACTTTAAGCAGGCCATTATAAAACAAATAACCTAGATGGTGTGAATAATGACATTAGGCGCCCTGTTAGGAATAAAACTGCAGTATTCAAATGATGACCTCATTGCGCATAACAAATATGTCAGCGGTAAAAGGTCAGTGGCTTTGTCATTGAATCGCTGTCATAAATTATTTCCGGTCTTTAGTCTGTTGTGTCCTGTCTTTACTTGGAGCTTTCCCATCCTATCAGGCAGTGCTGCTGATAAACCGACAGGATTACAGACATGCTTCTCTCGCTCGGAGACGATTAACTCAGGCTGGGCTCCTCTGGGAGAGGAACCAGAGCTACTCTGGCCTCTGGAAAACACTTCAGATAAGTTAGACTAAGGAGAGGAAGAGGATGGTTGATTTGGAGGATTAGGATGCACGAGGAAGTGAATCCTCTCTGATTTACTTCTGTACAAAAAACTTTAAAGCCACTAAGAGCTCTTTCACAAAGCCGTTTTCCCAAACTACGGCTTTATTTATTACATGCGGCATTTAACCATTTTTTAATCAGTTTTGCATGCTGTAGTTGTACACAGCCACGCTCAAGAAGGAGATGGGGAAAAGCAAGCAGATATCGCCACCTAGTGTAAGATTCGTGAACTGAATTTAATTTTGAGTCAGTTTTAAGAAATATGATCACAGATGATTCTTCTAAAACAAACACCATATAAAGTATTCAGTTAGAAAACACGCCTCTGATGAATAAACGAGTCAACGTACAATGAACATGACTTGGCTGTATGACATAAAATGAAAAACAGCTTCAGACATTAAAAAAAAAATGTTTTAAAGCAGTTGACACGTAATTAGAACTACATGTTCACACAACAGGTCACACAACAATGCAAACAAAGCTTACACATGTCACACCCTACTGCTGAACTATAACAGCACAAACTCCAAGCCCTTAGAGGGATTTAAAAAGAAAAAAACAACTTCTACTAGCTTTTCTTTACAGGTGAACTTATAGATGAGAATATATATATTTAATATTCTATTATATTTAATATTTTCAAAACAATCGTTCAGTGACACCAAGGCACTCTGAAATCTGGAAATTTAAAAACCTAATAATACGGGATGGTAAAATATATAATTTCCCAGGCTCATGGATGGAGGTGGAGAACATTTGAATGTAAGACATGGACGGGAACTGAAGTTAAAGGTGAAGAAATCTGTTAAAGCAGTAACCCACCCAAAAATTAAAATAAAAAGCTGCAGTAGTAAGTTGAAATAAAATAACAACAACAAACAAAAAAAAGACTTTAAACTGCATTTTATTAAGGCATCATCTTGAGAGCAAATTCACAGTGCTAGTAATGATTACTGCATCATCAAAGTAATAAATACCACCCAAGGAGGGACACACACAAAAAAAACAGTCCTAATAAAAACAACTGGACGTCTGCGAAACCTGAGAGTGATGCAGGATACTCCTGCGCGTCCAGTCCAGCCATGTGCCGGGACATCAAACGGTGTAGTCCAGCTCGGCATTTAGATTTGTGTACATCTCATAGATGGCATCTATAGTGGCTGTGTAATTAACCAGGAACTGACGCATATTTGCCAGACAGTCCTCCTCTTTCACTTCCTCTCCTTTTGACAGAGCCTTCAGAAAGTTTGATCTGTAGGGAGCTGCAAGTAACGCGGCCTACGAAACAAAAATGAAAAAAGATGGAGAAGCTGGTTTTACTGAAAGGTTAAATGGATTTTAATGAAAACTATAAATATAAATATATATATGCAACATTATATAGCATGTAATGAAAGTGCTTTGCCTTATCAGGAGACAATATTGATAAGATTATGTTTGCACAAATGCCATTATTGAGCCTGCTTATGAGTCTCATTGTTTATCCTTTATTGATCCCTAATCAATTTTCTGTGTAGAAGAATAGACCCATGCACCCATTTTATCTGAATCTCCACACAATGTCAGAACAGCATAGAGGGGGGCTGCAAGTAAGGTGACCACAGTGTGACAACAACTTGTGGGGCAAAGAGTGTTTGTGTGGGACACATTACACACATTTTGACATTGGCAAACTAAATAAACACTCAAAGGTTTGTAGGTTACGGGTTTGGCAACAGCTGTATTTTATTTGAATGCCACTTTCTTAACTACCTTGCAAAGTACATGCAATAAAAAGCCAAAGGAGGTTAGAGGAAGTGGAAAGTTGATCTAATATTTGTATATTCCTGTATTCCATGTACTTATACTGTATCACCTATACCAGGGGTGTCAAACATAAGGCATGGAGGTCAGAAATTACCTAAAGTTGTTTTCTTTTTTTAAATTGCAGTGCAAAGTCCAATTCACCACCTGTCAGTGCTTTTTTTTTTTCAATTATGCATTTATTTCTTTCAGTGTACGCACCAAAAGCTTTGCAGACGGAGTTTTCAATTCTTTATCATTTAAAAAACTGAGGCAATTTGTTAGAACATATGTACGATCCCACCCAGTTTAGAGACCGTTTGTGAACAAGGGCACATTGGACAGCTTTGGAAATGTAAATTAGGGCGTAGATTTTAAACTTTAACTCAGTTTGACAGATTTTCCTAATGATAAAGACCTCTACCATGGCCATTCATGTTATGCAAAAGTAATTAAGTAATAGATACAATGAAATGACAGAAGGTTACACTATCTACTATGGAAATGTATGATTTTACAGTGGGTCTACAATAAAAACAAAACAAGGTAATTTTCTGTCAATTCTCAGGTTTATAATCACAGAGCAGTCTGGGCAATGAGCTAACTGAACTTTTTCTGTAATTCTACACATTTATTTATTAAAATTTGAGCCCAGGGAGTCATGCTGACAGACTTCTGTCATGTACTACAGCAGCAATTCTCCATCCAAAATTGAGACTTCCTATTGAAATTGTTCTTCTTTTCCCTCATATCAAAACATCTCATGGATTAAGCATGTAAATCACAAAGGGCTGTATGTGGCCCACAATATAGACTGAATTTGACATCCCTTCTTATACTAATCAGTTAAAAATGTTACATGAGACTTCAGCCATATTCTCATAGTTGCTAACATCCTCTGTTAGAAGTAGTTTCCCCAACTGCATTTCCTTTTTTTAAATAATAATAATAATAATAATAATGTATACTTTATTGATTTTATTTTTTTGTGGTAGGTTCCATCACCTCCACTGCTTAACTGCAATTTTTCCCTCTTGGATGTAGTGCTGGCGACGGCGACAAGATTTGGGACACTTGCAAAATGTGAGACTACAACATAGGGATGGGCTCAAGAGATAAAAATGCTGTGCAGCTTCATAAGGTAAGGCACCTAAGGTTACAACGCTTCAAAGTGAAACTCAGTTGTAATGAATCTGAAAGCATTTTTATGCAGTGTAGAGAAAAACACGCCAGCATGAGGCGATTGCTGTGGACTGCACAATCTGAAACCAGTTCTCGATTCTTATCAGTCTGGGTGCGGTTGGGGTGGTCTGTGTTGTGTCACCACAAGAAACAATGAATTTCTTCCACATGTTACTCACATTAAAAATCTTTTGAACAATCCAGCCGTGGTATCGCTTCAGTGCCTGCTCATAGGCTTTTGTAATATTAACCCGAATGAGGTTGGGGTTGTTCTCATCTCTGTCCCCGTCTGCCAAACTCTGGAGCAGAATCTGGATGAAACGGAGACCCCTGCAGGAGAAACGGAGTACATAAAGGCATTCATTTCACTAGACGAAAGTTGAACAGACAGTATGACACAACTCTGAGTTCAGGAGGTCCTTACCTCTTCAGCCACATCAGAGCTAACGTTGCTCCAATTTTAGGCCATTCTGCTCCATGAGCCTCTCGCTCTGCCACCAGAATGTCCTCCAGGGTGGTGTACTTTGCGGGATTAGTGACATATACTGCTCTAATTTTCTGAAAATGCACATTTGAGTTCAGTTTGCATGTCGGAGCTGCACCTTTCTCTAATTTAAATCCCTTACAGTAACACAAATAGATATGCCCGCCTGCATCTTACCGTTATATTGCCATTAATGTCTGATTTGATGATTGAAAACACTTTTGATCCTAAGCAGTCTGGAAAAGAAACGAGACATTTGAGAGCAGGGCCAATAAAATATGAATGAGTTGACATGTCCCCGGCTCAGAGTAGGGGATGAATGCCAATCAGCTGTTTACAAAGAGAGGGCTAAAAACATGCCGTGAATGCACAGTTTCAGTTAAGTCACAATGAGGGCAATGTGTGCTCTGTTCACAGAGTCAACAAAGAGTTTCTCTATAGGCCAAACGGCCGCAGCTGGTTGACATGGTCCCCGTGACCCGACACCTCAATTTCTGAAGTGAAATAACCACGTCCCGACGTGAAAACCAAGCTCAGGTGGTCAGACGAGGTAGTTAAATAAAAAAATAAAAAAATCAGCCAAGTACGAAGGCTGACACCGTAGCGACCCGAGGAAACTCGCAAAGTCACCTTACGTGTTTTTGCATGAGTTCAGATGGAGTTGCACTCACCAAAAAACGCAGGGATGTGAGAGACGGTGTCCAGGAATGTCTTCGTGTCGATCGCCTTGTCAGGGGGCAGTTCACAGAACTGATTTTCCATTAAAAGCGACATGATCCTTCCTTACGAGCTTGGCGAATAGAGAAGAGCGACGGCAGCGAGCAGCTCTCGGCTGAGAAAAACCCGGAACTATGTTCTTATGATGGGTGGGGAAGCGCAACCGGCCACTTTCGCTCTTCACCAACTGGTGGGAAATAGTTCACGAGCGTGGTGAAAACACGCGGTATGTCCACAACACACACACACACACAAAGAAATAAGACGAGGAGAAAAGATGAGGTATGAATGACTTTATTATACCTAAGGCAGGGATTGCTTTGAACCACAGGTAGGGCAGGCTCCAAGTTACAGGGAGTTAAATGACGGTTTTGACTCCAGGGTGGAAGTAACTGAATACGTGCATTATAACATTATAAAGTCAGTAGTTTATGTGCTTTTAAAAAATTGTAGTCTAAAAAGTATTTATATGCTACTTAAATTGCTTTGCGTTACATTTTGTTCACAGAGGTACTATGGCTGGTTTTTAGGAGATGAATGGCAGTGGTATTTATTTTCTAAAAGACAGCCTTCTTAGGTTTGCTGTAACCACCTGCATACTTTACCATAATGCTCTACTACCAGACCAGGTAAGATCAGACCATGTTATTCAGTAAAACCTAGTCTTCCTTTAAGACAAAGGTGTAAAACACAGGGTACAGAGGCCAGAATAGACCACCAAAGGGTCCAATTGAGTCCAGGAAGGCAAAAAAATTGTAAACTTTTAACAGTATTTTTATACGTTTTAAAGCTTTATTTCTAACACTGATATCATTCATGGCCTGCCAAGCTACACTAAGTAATACAATTTTTTTTTAAATATTTAGTATCCCATTAAAAAACAGTTTAATGGAATAACATTCCCCATTTTTACAGTCCTTACTAAAACTGGCACATTTTCTGGAAATGAGTCTGGATAATGAGCCGTCAGTGCTTCTTTAATTATGCATTTATTTCTTAAAGTGTAAGACCAGAGAGCAGTTTTGCTGATGGGTTTCAGTTCTTTAAAAACGGACACGTACTGTTAAACTTGAACCTATTTTTATGAGTGTTGAGGTTTACACAGTCACCTAATAACAAAAAGATCTCAAGTTCAATCCTGGGAAGAGACCTAAAACCCTTAGGGGTTGCATCAGGAAGGGGATCTGGTGTAAAAATCTGTCAACACACTGAACTACCTGCTACTAAAAAGTTGCAAGACCAGTTTCTTGAGCCATCTCCAACTGCTCATCATCACTGTTATAACTGAAAGGCTTATTAAATGTGTACTTTAGGACCTTCAAGTGGCCCACAGTTTGACACCCCTGCTTTGCAACCTTAAGGAGACAATAAGAAGAATGCAGTACAATGGTAGAATAAAGCTAAATGTAAGTAATCACTCTCACCAGACCACCAAGACCAGACCAAAAAGACTTAGAAAACAGTAATAAAAAATTAAAAAACTGATCTCTGTGACATGAACAAGCTTCTAGATCATGTGATGCAAGTGAAAACTATTAAAACAAAACAGTATGCAGACCTTGACAAATAGTTTAATATTCTGTCAAAAACACATCTAAGAAGACTTAAGCAACTAACCAGAAATGAACAGTATACTCATGTGCACTGAAGACGTTTTAAGGATACTTCTAAATGTCTTTTTAATCCTCACCCAGCCACCTAAGAAAGCAGTTTTAGATAAAAATGAACGTGCATGTTCATACTGCTGTGGTTACAGTTAAACAGGCGCTTTAGATTTTCTTTAACACATGCTAACAGCTAGTCCTCTTTAAGGAAATTGAGCAGTGATAAATTAATCTGCTTTTTTCTTTATCTAGCACCAATTACATTACACTTTAAATTGCACAGTAAGGACCCTGCAATAAGAGCACAACCCTGCCGTCCACTTGTCGTGCAGCGTATTCCAGTTTTCCTTCCACCCCTGGTTCAAACACATCTGGCTCACAGCGAGTGTCACATTAGACCCGTGTTCTACAACAACTATTCTAGAACTGAGGGTACAATTACATTATCATTGGCTGTAAGCCGTAGGCGGTACATACTCGACCACATGAAGCGTCTAAAATACTGGAGTTAAAACACCACACTAAAATAAACAGACCACACATTTCCTATAACTAACTGCTGGTTGAGACGTCCCAGACATCAGAACAAAAACGTTAGCCTGCGCCGAGCATCGTGTTAAACCAAAGCTTATGAAAATAAACATTGATATTTTCTTAGAGGTATGACATACAGTTTATAAATAGAATAGCATTTGGATTATTCTGATAAAGAATTACATGGATACATACATCTTACATATTTGCATAACGCTAGTAAAATTGATTCAAAATGGATTTCACACAGGCCACTGAGGCCAACGCTCACACACGCACACACACACAGAACATCTTAAGTATGGCTGTAACATTATAACTCAAAAAACAAAAACAAAAACCCAAAAACTATTGATACTTTACTTATAAACACTGTTTCAACCTGCAGATGGACTGAAACTGCTGGAGTTGCTGGATGGGCTGAAAGTCTGGACACTCACACGGTGCTCGATACACTGAAGCTGCTTTTATAATCACAGTTGGCTTACTGAACAAACAATTGAACTTGAAGCAAGCAACACCACAATGATTCAAGAACAATGAACACTGTAACTGCCTCTTAAAGAAAAACAAAACAAACATTGTGATTGGAGTAGCTCATCTGTTCTGATCATTGCTGCTAGGTAAGACCTTTGATCGTCTATGAGTACCAGAAAGCGGACCTCAGTGAGCACAGCTAATGACTGATGGTGTCCTCTAGAAGGAAACGGATAATGCAAAACTGTTTGTTCTAATTGCTTTTATATACACAGGCAACACTGCACTTCTGGAAACTGAATAGATTCAATCTGTGAGGTAAAGAACAAGTAGTTTTTTCCCCCTGTATATATATACTTTTTATTACCATGGTATAAAAACAAAATAAATAAAGCTTTTGATTGAGCTATGATTTTGCATGTTATATTTTTTTTTCTCCACCTCTAGGAATGTACACAAAAGCTTACACTGATTAATATGGGGGGGAAAAGGGAAACCATTGATTAACATCATTTATATGCTATATGTTTGGCGCATTGGGAGTGTCTTTGGAGTTTAATTAGTTGTTGTTTTCTTTGGTTGTCACAGTAACAAGTTGTTTGGCAGCTTTGGCTATGTCATAGGCGCACTGAATGACCTGCTGAGTGACCAGCTGGATGTCTGACGGGCTGAGGTTGTGTTCTGCGGCCTTCTGGCACTCTCCGTGGAGCCGGCTAGCGCTTGAAGTCAGCAGACACAGAGACCCTCGCACTGTCTCTGAGGACGGCCTCTGAAGGGAGGAGGGAAGGAGATTTGATAAGGCGAGGACATGAAAGCATTCGTAATCACTTTATGTGCTAGGCAGGCACTGGATTTCTATGCGACTACAACAAAGGTAAATATTGAGAGGGTAAAACAAGATCCAATACAAGCAATGGAACAAGCAGGTGCCACCTATCTGGACAAATAATTTTAAGCTGCTTTCACACATCCAGCCAAGCTATGAGAACAAAATGTCAGATCTGGTTGGATCAGACATTAAGCACTCTTTACTCTGTTGGGTCTCTATTACAAAGTCCGTCTGATGTGAGAATATAGCAAGTTTCACTCAAGCAACATCCTCAAAGAGTATTTGGCTTAGTAAAGATTATATCCTGTTGCGTGCTACATGTGATAAAGTGCCGCTTCTGACAATGTCCCGACCTTATTCTCCTGACATTTTCAGGAGTTCATGTGTGAAAACAACTGCCTTCAGCTGTTGTCAGACAAAGCAAATTGTTCCATTGGACAATGAGCTGCTGGAACGGAGTCATCTTACCTTGGGAAACAGGGCAGCCATCTCTGTCACAGCCATGCAGATTTTTTCAGAGCAAGGCAGAAAGCTGCAGTAGGAGGAGACAAAAAGGATGAATGGGTGAATTTTTTTCCACAAACCTTTCTCAAAACGATCAAAAAGAGCCACGGGGTGTAATAGTATTTGGCTATTTAGGATTTCATTCAACTGTTTTCAAATTTGTACAGTAAATAAATAAAGAATAAGCGATCATTTAAAAACAATACTTGGCACCTTTCTGTTCTATGAAAGCAGTGAATGGCTTTTCTGGGCAGGGCCATACCACAAAGGACATTTATTTAACACCATTTTAAAACCTGTTGCCTTGATCAGCAGCACGTTTTAAAAATGTGAACAGACGGAAACAGTCGATGTATGTAATTTATCTTTTAAAGCCATTTGAATGAAACACATTTTTCAATAATCGAATCAAATTTTTTTATGTCACTCAAATGTGTACACACATATACTGTCTGATTGTTGTGCACCCACATGACTAACGTAGGCAGTGCTAACATGCTAGTACCAGCAGCCTGTCCTTGTTTGTTTACACACTGCTTCAGTTGAGAGGTTGTATGCCAGTTTAGTCGAGCAGAATCGTGCTGGTTCACACGGCTGTGCGTTATACTTTCCACCGTTCTTATTTACAACTTCCCATCCCAGAGAGACAATGGCTCTAGTTCATTAATAAAATATGAACTATTATTTTAGTACCAGCTAGTGTTTCTAGAAGCGACACGCAAGTTCAGCAGCATTTAACCACATAGCTGCTCATATCCCTGGAGCTAGATGGGAAACATTGTTAATCTCAAGATATTTACACAAAAGAAAAAGTGGGACGATGTAAGCAATAACCTACAAAAAGGAAAAACGGGTAGCAGTGTGGAACAGTTAAAAAAAAAAAAAAAAAATACAGTAAAAATAATAAAGAAATTATTAATAAACAAGTAACTACTGTGGACTTGGCAAACCACAGGGGAAAATAAGATCATGTGCTGTTTGTTTCCTGTTAGCTGCATTGACAGACCTAAGACCCAGACTCGGTAGACTCACACAGAGGGATCCTAAACAGGGCTGGAAATCAGAGTGCTGCTTGGTTTTCACCAATATTTGAGTAACTGTATTCACTCTGCAACTCAGGTGAAAATAAGGAGACTTTTAGTTCCTTAGGATGCAAGCTGGCATCATCCAGGCCAAGGCCCTATACACAACTTTTAAAAAACCACTGA